TGAAGCCTTGTATGTCTATGTGTGTAGCATGTCTCTGGTTGCTGCAACATGACTGGAGCAGTTCTACTGTGGCAGGGCTACGCAGACACACCCAGTTCTAAGGGAAGTCAGCCACTCTGATAGGTGTTGCAGCCCACCTTTTGTTCTCTTGTTCAGGCAGACTCTTATTTAAGAGATGCAGTAATTCAAGCTTCAGTGCTCGCAGACTAAATCTTTAGTCATGCTGCAGTTGTAGATGGTTCTTCAGGAGCAATACCTCAGTCCTGCTTAGTGAATCGGCACCTTTTCCACATTGTGTTTTCTCCTTGCTTCTCCTCCCCTTGTAAACAAATCAAACCCAACACCTAAAATAAGTATTTCACATCTCATGCTTTTCTGAGGTGGTTGATCATTTTGCCCTCGCCTTAAAACTGAGGACTGTAGAATCTATGACTATGATGGTCCTTATCCAACCTTCTTCTGTTCTTTATTCTCTCAAGCAGCCTCAAGTTGAGCCAGGGGAAGTTTAAAATGAATATTAGGAAAAATTTCTTCACCAAAAGGGTTATCATGCATTGGAGAAAGATTTCCTGGGGAAGTGGTTGAGTCACCATCCATAGAGGTATTTAAAAGATGTGTAGATTGTAGACATTTATGTTTAATGGTGGGCTTGGCAGCATCGGGTTAATGGTTGGGCTTGATGATCTTAAAGGTGTTTTCCAACCCAGATTATTCTATGACTCCATGATTCTTTGTCTTCTGAACCCTGTCTACATTTGACTCTTTGAGACACCTTCTTCTCATCAAGGTCTTCCTTTGCATCATCCACTCCCTGAAGTCCAGTACAAATCCATAGGACAAAAGAGAGCTCGTGCTGCCATTCTCAGCTGCTGGCAGTCATAAAGAGCAAGTTCAGAAAGAAATCCCCATACACTCCAGTAGGTCTGTGCTGGAGCACACTCTGTACTGAATAAATCTCTTCTCAGATTTTAGTTGCCAGCTATGATTGGGCTAAGGATGTGAAATAATTTTTTTAAAGAATGCTTGTAACAGCCAAAAATCATAAAATTTTCATTCAGCTCGTAAAAAGGGAAACATCAAAGCCAAGAAAGACACCCTGACAAAGTCCTTCCAAAGCAGGGAGACCCTAGGTCTTTTCAAGAAAAGATTTGCTAAAAAAGTTTTTTTTTAATCTGAGCAAAACATTCTTCTGTTCTCATTTATAGAAGCAATTGGGCTGCTTGAACTGCCTTCTCTGTGTTTCCTGCCCCTTTTCTCCCCAGCAGAATAACTCTACCTTGAGGCTAAATTCAGTATAGTTATTTTATTTACTGTTCAGACAACTCAGGATTTTATGATGGAATCAGCACAGTCACAGTAGTACTTCTGGTACAGAAAGAGTCTTGTGTACTCAATGCACTTACAGTGACAAGAAGACAGAGGGATGTGTTATCACCTCAAGGATTTGACAGGTAACAATGAGGCTTTAACAATGTAATTTTATTTTAGATTATAAATACTGGTTTCCTTTAGTTTCCTAGCCTTTAGGGTGCATTTGTACATGCACCAGCTGTTTGTTACATTCTTGATGGCTAAGCCTTGGCATGATTTGAATGACAACTGAGATTATCTCATGATCTCCTGACTCCGAGATTTTAATAAAAACAGCAAACAAATAAAAACTGAGATTCAGCCATGGGAAACAGCAAAATAGCTCTTATCACTGTGGCATGCCAGTCCCATGGGTATGCTTGCAGAGTGCAGACTGTCAAGAACTAATTAGCTACAGATCGGAGCTCCTCAGATCAGTCCATTCTGTGTCATTTGCCATCATTACCTGCAAATACTTGGAAAACCATACTGATGTTGAAGGCACCTTCAGTGATCCCACATGTTCCAAGCAATGTGCTTTATGGTTTCAGTTCTGCTGCATTCCTGACCTTTCTTCCCCTCCTGGAGGGTTTGGATTAGATGCTAAAAAGATCAAACATTGTTAATTGTCCAAAACTTTCAGACTACCATGACAGCAGGTTAAACTTAGGTGCTCCAAACAGAAGCTTTTCTAAAGTGAAGCTTAAAGTGAAAAATGCATGTTGATAACTCAGGACAGATTAAACCACAAGACTCATATAAATACTCTTAAATGAAGTGTTTCAGGGCTTTGCAATATATATGCATTATCCAGAATAGAAACTGCAGCTGGAATACAGTTCCACAATCCAAAACAACTTTGTGCATAGAAAAAATGTAATCTCAGAATTCAGAATACAAAAAAAAAAAAAGTGTATGAGTAATCTAAACATGTTACTTCATGAGAAAGGCATAGAGTTGAGATGGAATGTTCTGGCTTGTTGTATAATATTTTCCAAAACTTTGTCTTTATTAAAATTTACCCAAAAATGCATCAAATGTGAAAAAACACAGTACACCATGAAAAGATAACATACTGGTAGTGAAAACCAGTATTCTATAGAAAACACCAGCAATATTAGGAGATTCTTCTGAAGTCCAGTGAAGACAAGGGGTTTTTGTGTTGGAAAATTGGTCCATCCTTTGAACAGTAACAGTTCTAATGAGCCAGCCTTTTGCTTGTAATCACAGGTGAATATAAGAAAACTTACTTTCAGCAAGTTACATAACTAAATAAGCAAAGGCCCTATTGGCAGCAACCTCCTATACATCCATGAGAAGGTAATAGAGACCTACAGCAGGGAGGAGAGCATAAAGCCATGTGCATCAAAAAAAAAAAAAAAAAAGGAAGTAAATGGGGAAAATAAATTCTAATGACATACCTTTTATGTAAACAGTTCATCAGTGTGCTCTATATAACAACTTCCCACAGATTTTGCAGTGCAGAATAGAACCTGCTTTGCATAATCTTTTGTCAGCATTGCCTGTAAAGAGTGTATCAGGGTATACATGATCTTTATTTTTCCAAGGAAAGTCGTAGCTGAAACTCAAGGACAAATGTGTCATTTGACCTGCATCAGCAGTTCAGATTCATGGCCTTTCCATTCTAAAAACTGTGCTTGTTTCAAAGCAAGAAACTAGTCTGAGATGACTAGTGAAGCAGGACAGTTTCTTCTTGAGTTCAGGCAGCTAATATTTTGTTGTGCCCTGAATATCTTCTTATCCAGTTGTACCTCACCTCTGCTGGAAAAAGGGGAGAGGGAAGGGATGCTATTTCTGTTCAGGAACCAGCTCACATTTTTGAAGCCTGACATTTTGCTCTCTGAGTCCATAGTGCATTTTGAAGAGGAAGTCAGATATTTCACTCAAAAAGAAATTTTCACCTTTCTTTAGAGCTATTTTGTGCTCTGGTAGAAATGAAGCCCTGACACTATCACAAAAAGAACTGCTACATTATAAAACAGGGTTTCTTCTCTTCCATATGGGGAAGGGATCGAGTTCTTCCTCTGCCAGTCAGGCTGCAAAATCAAAGAGGTGTCAATCATCCTTGCTCACCTCATGTCAGGGGGTATCCAGTCCTTTTCAACTGACATAACATAGTAGGAGAAACCCCACTCAACCAATGAAGGGGAAATACCTTTCCCTTTGCATCTGTCACACTTCCTGCCAGGTGTAGAGAAGAATTTTCAGAGGAACAGAGCATCCACAGCACTTGCTGGCCCCTCTGTAGATTTGCATGTCTCAGGTCTCTAAAAAATTATATCTTAATGTTTTTTACTGGCTAAAAGGTGTTAAACAGCCTTCTATATTTTCAGAACTCAAGGGCAGTCTTGGGATGCTCCTGCTCCTGTACTTATGCAAAGGGTTTGAAGAGCTGTGCCTACCTGCTCTTGAGCTGCAAAAGGTTCATGAAAAGACAAGAAGTATGGCTCTGCTCTTACTGAAAGAAGGTGGACAGAGGCATCCACTGTCTCACAAGATCACACCTCTACATTATAATCCAAATACTGAGCCTGCAGAAGGACAGGTGGTAACTACCTTTCCTTAAGGAAAGGATCCAGGCAGAATATCAGGCAAACACAGATAGAGAAACAGTTTGTAACTAAATCCTCATCAACTGGGGCTTTGAACTAAGTTGGCCAAAACATTGGGAAATCTGATGGGGACCAGTATTCTGGAATTTTTTCTGTTGTTCCCCCACCTCTTTCATATAACTGCCCTTTAGCAGTGCTCCCACTGGAACACTTAACAGGAAGGGAAATTAAACTTCGGCACTACTATGTTCAAAACGTAATGTGAGGTGGCTATCGAAGCACCTCAGCTGACGGGGACAGCAGGGGATCACCTGCCTCGAATTGACACCAAGGACAAGAACACTTCATTATTTGCTGGAGACATGATCCTGTTAGCTGGCTCTCGAATGTCAGTTGTGTGCACACATCCTCTCAGGAGTGAGAAATGAGATCAAAGGGAGACAGGATGCCCTGAGAAAGCCAAGTAGAGTGCTGACAGCTGTGTAAGATGTGCCCAGGCCTCCTCTGCAGCCCCATAACCACAGAGAAACTGAAATAATAACCTTTAAACCAAAGTTCTTGAAACATCTTCTGAGGGCAAATACCCTCTTAACAAGCACACAAGAGAGCTGCAGTTCTGAAAACTACACATATCTAAAACCAGTTTTATCTCTTCAGGGGAAGGTAGAAATACAGAGTTTTGACTGAGATTTGTTTTGCATTCACAAGATAAAGAAACGCATCTGCTGGTGGTGTTGTGATGTTTTAGATTGTATGCTTCTGACTTGTAAAGTCAAGATTTAGCCACAAATGGCAGGAAAAAGTATATTGTATGAAGCAATGGGTTGAGTAACCAAATCTAATGTGTTCTGGTCAACATGGCCTGAGGAATACTGAAAGTGTCCCAGTCACCACTTCCTCAGTGATCACAAAGTACACACATGAGATGTGCAAAAATTGGTTGCTCATGCTATGGCCCAACCCGAGCACACTGCTCAGAGGGGTACAGACAATACTCAGCTGTGTTCCAACAGAAGCTTTATTGAGTATGTAGATACAGGAGTCACCATTGGTTTGTAAGCAGAAGGATCAGATCTTTTCCATGGCAATTTCCTACTTTGACCTAAGTTCTAGAGAGCTGGGAATAGCTGTTCTGTTGCACCAAGACATACATACCTTGTATTTCCAGGAGTCACTTAACAGTGGAAATATCAGCATTCACTTTATAGGTTCTTTTTTACATTTTCAACTGATGACTGTAATGAGAGAAGCTTTAACCATTCAATAGAGGTCCATCTTACTGCAACATTGTCTCTACCTAGTCCTCCAGGACTCGGGAATGAGAAGAGCTACATGGCTTGTTCTGAGCTCTTCTCCATAAGTATTTCACAGCTCTCATTTTGAGCTCTTATTTAGGGTAGAATACAGGAGGTGTGGAACATACGGACAACACTCTAGGTCAATCGCTTACCAAAAATGCCCGTAACCTTACAATAATAAAATTATTGTTATAATTAAGGGCTAATTTAAGAAATTTACAGTATTTACAGCCATTAAATCTAGACAGAAAATACTAAGTAATAGGGGAACAAAGTAAATGAAAATTAAGACAGAGCTAGGATGAGGTTCCCAGGCTCTTTCCTGAGAACACACTGAGGAGTGTGTTCATTTCCTCTGATACCCTGAGAAGCAAATGCCGTTCAGGGCCTACCTAGATGTTCTCTTGATAACCTTTCTCCAGGGATTCTTATCTCTAGCATAAGGCTAGAGCAGTTCTACTTTGTTCCACACAAAGTCTATAGCATCTTATAAAAGAAGCTCATAGCAGCTGACGGGCCTGTCTCCCAGCTTAGCAGGAGTCAGTAACACCCTCTTATTATTCCTATTGTGTGAATTAGTCAAAAGGAGTTGTCTTAGACTACTCATCTGAGATCTATTCATGTGGAGTGCTTTCTGTAACATCAGAACAAGCCAAATTCAGTCCTCAGGCCAGTTTACCTCAGTTCAGGTATCAGCTGAGACCAACTAATGTCTGTTCCTATATTTTCATCCTCAAGACCAGGAAAGCTGATATCCAGAAGGATTTTGCTCAGACTGTCATTCATGGTGTCCAGGATAAGGCCCTCCATGAGTGACCGGTTTTCAGTAAAGCCAGAGGTTGTCAGTTCAACAGATGATTGCTTAGCAGACTCACGAACAAACGCTGGAGAGCTCGTGAAGTGGGCAGGAGCCATGTCACTGGATTCTGTATTGAGCAGTTCCCGAGGAGAATCAAAGAGCGGGTTTTTAAGGGGTGTGCTGTTAAAACCCAGTAAGTCCTGGTTGTCCTGGAGGGGTGTGAATGGCAACTGAAGGGTTTTCACTGGACTGAAGTCCAGCTCGTGACTTCCCCTGGCTAAGGAAGCAGACTTCCAGAGGTCAAGGCCCTCTAGTGAGGGGGTAGTAGTGGCTGAGACTTTGCTGGGAGTGGAAGAAACGGGCAATTTGCTGAACATCTCCTTGACTGGTGTTTTAAAGGCTGCCTCTTCTCCCTGTGAGCAGCTGAGCTGTGATACATTTTCAAGAGGCTGGCTCTCCAGCGGGAAAGAACGGTCTGCCCCTAACCGGAAAGAGTCAAAGCTGTTGCTTTCTGGCAAAACAAGGACAGGCTCTTCTGAGCAAGGCAGTGCTAGGTGTTGTTTCCTTCTGGATCTGCCCATTTCCCGCCTTTCCCGCCTCTTTATAACTAAAGAGTCAGAAACAGCCTTAGGTGGGGACTTCAGTGTGGTGAATTGTTTTTTCTCCTTTGTGGATGAGTCTGGGAAGAATAAGCCTGGCTCTTCCTTTACTGTTATGGTTGAGGCAAATGGGGACAGCCAGTCATCCAGTTGAGAGCCTTCTTCCTCCTTTATACAGACACCTTCAGGGAAAGAAGGCAATTCGTCACCAGGCTGGGAGCTGTTCTCCTTTAGGGAATGGGCTGGGGAGAACAAATCTTGATCGCATTGACCCTCTTCCTTGACAGCAGCCGTGGGCAAAGAGGGTGACTCTTCTGTAGACAGTGACATCTACAAAGAAACACAAATGTCACGCAGTCAATAAGCAAGGATCTAACTCACCCAAAATGCAAACAATAGTGGAAAGAAGAAAAGAAAGATTGGCACTTAAGGTCAGCAGAAAAAGGTAAGAGGAAGTTCTTCAGAAAGCAGTAACTATAATAACAGATATAGATTGATCTTGGTGAAGTCAACAGAAGGCATGGGAAGTCAACAGATCACATGGGAAGGATTTTAGCTAAGAGACTGAAAGTCATTCCCTTCAGAACATTTCATCTATAAGCAACTTCTAGGAGTACAGGCAGAAGGAGAGCCAAATACTTCTGGAAAAAATGTAACCCCTTTGATTTCTTCTCACACTGTCTATATGTGAATAACAAAATGAATGAGGGCAGCTTTCTCAGAAACCAAGGAAAAGGAAACGAAAAAAATGAGGTTATCAAAAGAAAAAGAGCACAGGAGAAAGATAAATCATAGCAGGAAAAAACATAACGCAGCAGTCACACAAAGGAAAACAGAATTATGGTTAGATCAGGTAGAAGAAGCTAAAGCTTTACAATGTCTAAGTATACAAGAGCAGTCAGTGAGATGCCAAGAGAAAGATGTGTTTAATAGCTGTTTTTCTTGAGCCCAGAATAACTGGGAACTTCATAGAATTAGCAAACAGCAGATACAGAAAACCTCTGGGAAGAAACTACATAAATACTCTTTCAGAAAAAGTTCTTTATGTTACATGTCACTAGAGCTACCAAAAATACGAATGTTTTAGGATCGAAACAAAGACACTTCTCCCATTCTTTTTATTTTGCATCCAAGCGGTAGAGAAAAATTGTCTTGACCAATCCATAAGCCCCTTCCTCTAATCAATTATAGAAACATCCTTATAGCAAGTAAACTAGCAGGTAATAGTCAGCCTAGAGACAGTAAAGGATAGCAAGGATTAGCATGAACTTGGGAGTTTCAGAGCACCTAGAAAAGATGCACAAAGGAACAATATGAAGAACAGGTTCAGTGGAGGCAAGAGATATAGAAAAAAACCAAACAAAGAGAAAAACCACAGAAATCAAAACAAACAAATAAACAAACCCCCCAAACCACACCCATCCACCCTCCCTCCCCTATCCTTAACCACTCCACCAATCCCCATGCCCCCCTCCCAAAAAAAAAGCCACAAAAACAACTTGGAAAACAAGAAACCAACCTTTGGAGCAATGCGCACGCGCTTATTGCTCTGCAAAGTCTCCGAGCTGTTAAGGGACGCTCCCTGTGCCATGGATAGAGGAACTTTCATAGAAGGCTGCAAGACAAGAGGCTGACTCAAAGGAAACTGGATTGGAACCAGGTAGGAGTTGACACGGGGAAGTAAAGGCTTCATCTTTCGGCCTGCAAGGGAGAAGAATGGACTCACTAGCCTCTTGTCCTCTACAACTACCTCTTGAAACCCAGGCATCTAACAGAGTCCTTCTAAACCCCCCAAAATAAACATTCAATCAGATAGGCTCACCTGCCTTCTCTGCTAATTTTGAAAACACAAATACAAAGTCAGAATGCCTTATTAACAAGAAAATAGTCCTTCATACAGATGGGAGCCCTCAAGCTGGGGCTCTCACTCCATTTGAATACCCAAACCTCACCATCTCCCCATCACATCCTCTCTCAGACACAGCAATACTGCCTTCAATTTCAGACCTGACAACAGAGAGCATAAAAGCGGGCAAACCTGGATAACAAATTCAACTTTTATTCCTAAAGGAATGTGGGAGAGTGCCCCAAATTACTGCATTGATTCTCTTTGGCCTAAGCTGATGTAGACACTTACGTGAATTCTGGGGTTCAGTTTTGCTTCCCACATTCTTCAGGGTATCTGGAAGACGACTCTTTTGCTGTTGCAGTCATTGTAAAATAAGTAAGAGGAGAAGGAGAAAAGAAAGAGATTAAAAAAAAGAATCCACATTTATTCTTCTGCCTCATTCAGAACTGTGAAACCAGAAGTCTGGGCTGCGCTAATGTAGAGAGAGCAGCTGTTAGCACCCAGCTCATGCCAGCTCTAGGTCCCTGCTGCTTGCTATTTTGCAGTCATACCATCCCAAAGTTGACTGCCAACCAAAGGCTCTGTAGAAAAAGATCTGCTCCAGCTGCAGACTCTGCTGCAGAAGGAACCTGGTTTTGGTGTCCTCAGTGCCTGAGGAACAGTGATTAAGATAGCTTTACTGTATATGGGATCTCTGTACAAACCATAGACCAGGTAGGTGTTCCAAATGGAATAGTAGAAGCAACAGAGGAATCAGAATTCTGAGCAGATGGAAAGAAGGCCAGAGTTGTAGCTGCAAGAGAAGTGCTCGACCAGATACTTGCAAATCCATCACTGTTAAAACTGCTGAATGCAAGAGTGACAGCAAACAGATTCATCCTTCTGAGAGTCACAATGCAGTTGGGTTCCAAAATGAAAAAGCAACACAGAGAAATCCTATTCTCTCTGGATCTGAGCCCCAGAACAGATTGGGACTCCTGCCATGGAGATGATCATTTTGCCAGAAATCTCTGGGCTTGTTCTCTGAAGCCTACTGGTGACCATTGCAGCCTACTTCAGCAGCAGACTTCCAAGATGCTCAAAGCTGCACAGCTCTATCAGCTAGAGAGAGAGAGCATATCATCTGAAGGCAGTTAACCTTTCGCTCAACCCCTTTCCCCAAAAAGGGTGTTCATGGACTATGACTAGGTGCAACAGTGACCCAGTCCCCCTCCCCAAGCCTCTTGTCCTTTCCTTCAGTGACTGGCAAGAAGAGAATGGAAGATCAAGCCCCAAGCCAGAGGGTAATTCTTACTGATTCAGAGCATTCAGGCGATGTTGGTGACCCCAAGTCCAGCGGCTGGTGGCAGAAGGCGTTGAGAGGGGAAAAAAATGAAGATGAAGTTATCAACCAAAGAGAGGGACAAATGGGACATTTTAAACCTGCACAATCTGAGTGAACAAAAGTTAATCTGGCCACCTAGAAGAAAATACAGAGGAGTCTAAATACACGTATAGCAGACTCACAAGCTCTATTTCCCTCATAAAATAGTACTTCCTAAAACACCTAGTTGGGATAGGAGAATTCCATCCTATGCCTGACTTATCAAACAGCGTAGGAACACCTGGTTGGCTTCAGTGGAAAGCTTCTCATTAGCAATTTGAATCAGGTTCACAGAAAGAAGTTGAACAAGCTGACTATTACATTTGGCACAGCACCTGAAGAATGAACATGTCCCACAGAAGCTCCAGGTCAAAAGCACAACCACAGCACCTTTTCTTTCAAATGCAGAATTTGTCTATTTGTCCAGAGAAGTGACTGAATACAGCTTCTCCAAAAAGGCTGATGTCAAAGCAGCTTAACTTTACAGTTAAAATAAGGTGCATCTGCCTAGTGTGGCATTTAGAAACTGGATAACCTGTCCTATTTTCTTTGCATGAGACAACTCACCTTAAATACCTGGTCCAATGTTAGGCAACGGTTTGCATCAGGGTGAATAGTCCAGAACGAGATTTTACCATTAGCAGATGTCTCACGGACAAACATATCATGAAGGGACAGGTTGTGCCGAATGGAGTTCTGGGGAGAAAGAAGCGAGGGGAGTTGAAAAGCAGTAGTTTTGTTATCAGTACAGCAAGGGCTACATCAAGCATGACTGCCCTAGCAGAGGGATTGCATTCCAAAGTGTAGACAACACTGAACCTTCATATTCACAGTATACCCAGCCAACCCTGTCATCAGTCTCTTATTCTATTTACTCTTGAGATCCTTATTCTTAGTCCAGTGATCAAACATACCATAATCTTGCCTGAGTGGAATGAGACAAGGGATACAAGAAGTGGGAGAGTAAACATCTGGAATAGGAAGGTATTTGGGGTGGGATGTTTAAATGAATTTCCATCTTGCTCTGCAGGCTGGGGAACAACTTTTCATTTTGATCCAGAAGGTTTATAACATCACCCTGGGGCCTACAGCAACTTGAAGGCCTGCTTGTTACCTTCCAACCTGGCTTAGCTACATGTTTAAAGTAAGGAAAATGATCCTCAATCCAAGTATAGATGTCCTTCAGAGTCATACGCTTCTTCTCAGTGCTGTTGATGGCAAACTGGATCATGGCCATGTAGGAGTAAGGAGGTCGTTCTGACACTGAATCCTGCCATGACGAGGAGGCAGCAGCAGTAGGAATAGCAGCAGCAGCAGTTTCTTCTTCAGTCTAAGAGACAGAAGAAACGATACATGAATGCTCACAAATTTGACAAGGGCACATGGAACATCCCTGAATCCTCCAGGTTCTATTCAAATCAGTAAAGGCCCAACTCAGGTTAGTTAGAGACAGTGATGCCTAGTTCTTGGAAGTCTTCAGATCCACATAGATTACTTCCTTACCAAAAATTTTAGCACATGCTCATGTCTTCTCCTACTTACCTTGATTCTTTCCTGCAGAGGCACCTGGTTCTCTTTCTCTGTGTCTTGCTTCACGGAAGAGGGATTTAGCCCATCAGATCTCATCTTTCCCAGCCACTGGATGTTAGTGAGACTATTGTCCAACACAGAGCTCATTGTCTCACCACTGCCTGTTGGGATAACAAGCCCATATTACAGAGTCACAGAATCATTTAGGTTAAAAAAAGACCTCCAAGATCATCGAGTCCTTTCTTTGACCAAACACCACGTTGGCAACCAGACTAGGGCACTCAGTTGCAACCAGTTGTTTCTGGAACACCTTCAGGAATGGTGACTCTACCATTTCCCCGAGGGAGCTTGTTCCAACGCTTGACAACCCTTTTAGGGAAGCAATTCTTGATGATGTCCAACCTGAACCTCCCCTGGTATGGATTAAGGCTATGTTCTCTCATCCTGTCAGTAGTTGCCTGGGAGAAGAGGCTGACTCTCACCTGGCTATAACCTCTTTCAGGTAGTTGCAGGGAGCAATAAGGTCTCCCTTGAGCCTCCTCTTCTCCATGCTCAAGAAACCCAGTTCCCTCAGCTGCTCCTCATAGCACTTACACTCTAGACCCTTCCCCAGATTTGTTGCCCTTCTCTAGACACACTCCAGCGCCTCAGTATCATTCTTGTAGTGAGGGGCCCAGAACTGGACACAGCACTCAAGGTGTGGCCTTACCAGTGCCAAAAACAGGGGGACGATGACTGCCCTGGTCCTGCTGGACACACTACTTCCGACACAAGCCAGGATGCCATTGGCCTTCTTGACCCCCTGGGCACATTGCTGGCTCATGTTCAGCCACTGTTGACCAGCACCCCCAGGGCCTTTTCTGCTGGGCAGTTTTCCAGACACTCTTCCCCCAGCCTGTAGCACTGCATGGGATTGTGACCAAAGTGCAGGACTCCTTAGTTCTGCTTACTTACAAGTAACCCTCTTAACCCTTCACCTCAACTGTCAAAAGGAAGGCACTTAGTCACACTAGCAAAAGATAGTATTGCAATGCTAATGTTGTGGAAGGAATTACTCTTGAATTTCCGATTTCATGTGAAGTTGCCCTATTTCTGATAGAGAGCTGCAGCCTTAAAAATGAACACTCAAACCAGACTACTGCTTTCAACCAAAACAGGACAATGTTGATCTGGTGCTTCAAGGATATCATTAGCTAAAGGATGAATTTAGTAAGCAGAAGCCAAGGGTGGTGATGACAGACTCTAACTGAAAGACGTAGCACAAGACCCAAGTCAGAAGCTCAGATGTCTTCCATCAAAAACTTATGCACTCTGATCCTTCAGATTTCACTAGATATGCAAAGCTATGTAGATTATTAGAATAAAATCTATAGACTATTTTGTAACTAACAAAATCTTATTCGTTACTGCATACCTAGATTCAAGCACTACACTCATTGGCCCACTTCACATCTCTTTGTCCGTCAGAACAAAAAAACCAACCAACCAAAAAACTGGTAAAGACTACATACTGTTGCTCTCCTGTTCCTGTCCAGCTGCAGAACCAACTCCTGAATGCCAGAGCACTGCCCTGCCTGCAAGACCAGGCGTCTGTGTAACATCCTTCTCTCTTTCTTGACCATCTGCAGCCTTGACTGCTGCACTGGCTTTCTTCTCTGGTGGGAGATGCTGTGATGGTGCTGGACCTGCTGAACGGGACGTGCCCCCACTGCTAATGAGGATGAACTTGTTGGGTCCATTGTTGCCACATTCTTTTCCTTTTGCCGTCAGTGCCTCTATGATGCTCTGGATATCAGCATTTGTAGGGATGGCCACCACTTGTGTGTTGGGCATTGTAGGATGGTCAATTATCTTTATTCCCGCTGGGAATTTCTGCAGGCCACAGTCCCTTTTGTCTCTGGGTTGTCTGTTGTGTTGGTCCTCCTGGCTGTGCTCCTGCTTGGGAGTCTTTTCATCCTGACCTCTGCTCTCATCTCTCGCTGAAGTGCTGGATTCATCCTTCTGTGGGAGGGTCAGTTTCCGTCTTTTGAGAATTAAGGGCCTGCGAGGGCTGGTCCTCATTATTGATCTATACTGTCACTCTCCATTGAAAGGGAGAGGAACAAATCCTGTAAAACAAAAGATACAACATAAAGAGTGCAGCAAATCATCACGGGCCTCCCACAGAGCACACATTCTCAGCAATTGCTACAAAGCCAAAAACACAAAAGGGAAATAAAATCGAAAGTGTGTAATAAGGTTGGCAAGGCTACTGAAAAGACATACTGTACCTCCTCTACCCGCACCTTGTGTAAGCAGGACAGGAGAGATACTTGCACAATAGATAATTTGCATCACAAAGTACATAATAATGAGGGAAGTGTGTATTTGCACTTTACAGAAAGACTCAGATATATTGTGACTTGGCCAGCATCAGCCAGCAAGCAGGAATGGAGAGAAAGTAGAACATAGAAGTAGCAGTCCTGATTCTTATAGAATATTACACAACCTGAGTGAAAAGAGAATGTACTGATGGTTTAAGATATGGCAAGAAGAGATTATCCCAAACACTACAAAAGCACACAATAAATGCAGCAGAAGTTAGGTGCTTTAATATAAAGTAAATGCTCTAGTCCTTCTTTCTGTAGATTTGTCAAGTACCAGATAAATTCCTCATTAGGCAGCATACCTTTAAAAGTCAAACTTTTCCACAACAGGCAATTTAGACTATAAAGCAGGAAGCAGAGGAAATAAAATTTGTAGATGCTGCTTCCAGGGTAAGATGCAGTGAGAATACTGCTTATAATGCCATCAAGAATTCGGTGGAACCTGTGTCTTTCAGCAAACTATAACAGAACGAGAACACATAAATGATAAACTTCCTGTTTATCATTAGGGATGCCAGGCAGAATACAAACAAATAACAAAAAAAAACCAAAGAAACAAAAAAACCAAAACAAAACAAAAAAACCCACTACTACAACAACAACAAAAAAACAGAGAGGCCTTTTACATTGTTAGATTGGACTGGGCCAGCAGGTAAACGAGAAAATTGTCAGTAAGAGTCACCTACATTGATACAGAGCAGACAGTCCAGTGGAATAACAAACCGAGCTGCCCTACGAGCAGGGATCATCCAGCCCCGGGATCGGGGGCTGCCCAGTAGCGATGGGAACGCTCCGCAGTCCATGCGGGCCGTGGCACACATGCACACGCATGGCCCTTTGCGATCTGCTCCACCCCCCTAAAGAGACATCCCGGTTAGACAGCGCCCACAGAGGAGCCTGTAGCCAGCCTCCAGCAGACTGCGTTCCCCACAGGAGCGCGCCACTTCCTAGACAGGCCTGGAGCTGCTGCCACCAGTACAGGCCCAGGAGCGTTCCCGTACACGCAAGGCCCCAGGGACGGTGAGAGGGGCAGCGCTGAAGCGCTCCCCGCTGCTCCTCCGCCCGCTGCAGCCCCAGCGCCGCCGCGCCCGCCGTTCAGTCCGCCTGCCCCGCCGGGGTCCCTCCGCCCCAGGCCGGGCCTAAGCGCTTCCCTCTCTCGGCCGCCCTAGGGTCTTAGCGCGGCCCCCCGCGGTTGGCAGCCCTCGCAGAGGGATGCTGGAGGCGAGGCAGGCGCGGACGGGGACTCACCAGCTCCCGGGCGGGCAGGGCCGATGGAAGCGGCGGCAGCTCCGGCGCTCCCGGGGCCGCCCCGGTTTGAATTTGGCGCCCGGCGGGGCCCGGGCCCGGTCACGTGCCGGCCTGGGCCAGTGAGCGGCGGCGGGGGCGGGGCGGCCCAGCGGCGGCCAATGGGCGGCGGCGGGGGCGGGGCGGCGGCAGCGCGGGCCAATGGGCGGCGGCGGCGGGGGACACGGCGGGGGATACGGCTGGGCTGGCGGGACGCGGCGGGCCCGAGGGGTCGGGCCGGGCCGGGCCGGGCTCGGTGCCGGGGACCCAGCGCTCCTCCTGCCCTGCTCCGTCCCGTCCTGCCCCGGGAGAGCCGCCCCGGCTGCGGCAGTCCCCGCAGCTCCTTCCAGCCGTGCCGCTTGGGAGCCCTGCTCTGTGCTCGGGTCGCTGGCCGTGCGTTGGCCCCTGGCGAAGAGCCGCGGAGTCTCGCCGTTTAACGGGTGTCACGGCCGTACCGGGCTACGGGGGCCTGCAGGACGCCCCGAGGAGGCTGCGCCTTTGGTAAGCAGGCAGGATGGTGAACTCTTATGCACCTCTCCTAAAATGTTCTTCTTGGAGTTCCTGTTCTGAGCTGACCTGCGGTGATTCAGGCCGGCTGAACGTGAGCCAGCCGTGTGCCCAGGTGGCCAAGACGGCCGTCGGCATCCTGGCCTGTATCAGCAATAGTGTGGCCAGCGGGATCAGGGAAGTGACTGTCCCCATGTTCTCAGCACTAGTGAGGCCACACCTTGAGTGCTATGTCCAGTTCTGAGCACCTCAATTCAAGAATGACACTGAGGTGCTGGAGCATGTCCAGAGAAGGACAACAGAGCTGGGGAAGGGTCTGGAGCACAAAAGTTAAGAGGAGCGGCTGAGGGAGCTGGGCTTGTTTAGCCTGGAGAAAAGAAGGCTCAGGTGTGACCTTATCACTCTCTATAACTACCTGGCAGGAGGTTGTAGCCAGGTGCGGGTTGGCCTCTTCTCCCAGGTAACAAGTGACGGGACAAGAGGACATAGTCTTAAGCTGTGCCTGGGAAGGTTTAGGTTGGACATCAGGAATAATTTATTCACAGAAAGGGTGATTAGACACTAGAATGGGCTGCCCAGGGAGGTGGTGCAGCTGCCATCCCTGCAGGTGCTTAAGGAAAGACTGGATGAGGCACTTAGTGTCATGGTCTAGTTGATGTAGTGGTATTTGGTCATAAGCTGGACTTGATGATCTCAGAGGTCTTTTCCAACTTATTGATTCTGTAATATTTTTTTTTTTCAATGGAAAATTAAATTCAGTGTTGCTTCAATACAAATTTATTCATTAGGTAAAAAAAATTCATGCAAGATCTGTAGAATACATGAGAGAAATGTCAATGCTGTTCAATAAAAAAAAAACAAACTAAAGAACTTAAAAATTCCTGAAATTAAAAAGTACTTAATTAGAATGGTACTTCTGGTTATCTTGGCTCTATAGCATATTCTTGGCATTACAAACCAGAGTAAATTGAAAAAAGAAAGCAAATTTTTCTGACTTTTTTTTTTAATAGCTGACTTGATACAGCTGGATCAGTAGGTCAGCTGTTCCAATTCCTACTGTGCATTTCTAAATCTACCTGAAAATCAACAGAAGGTTCAAAAACTACTGGTAGGAAGAAGTCTGCTTAGAAACTTGTACGCTCTACTGCTGCATAAATGTTTTGCTTTTGTTAAAAACTAGATCTGAGGTTTCCAAACAAGTCAATCTTAAAATACATTTATTTGCCTTCTACAGAATTGAGAGCACTTCAGCATCTCCTCGGGGTGCTTCCCTCTTTCTCCAGCTGGCTCTAACAAGCATCATGAGGTTTCTAAGTGGTTTTACCACACCTTTTGATGCCTCCAAAGAAGAAATGTGCCCACAAGGCCAGGAAGGCAGAGCTGGTATTCCTTGAGAAGCCATGGGCAGGACCCATCCATTGCTATGAAACTCCACTGCCTTTGGCCCAGAACCCCAGACGTGTGCCTACAAAACCTGTAGACCGGAGCACCTCTGCTGCCTGGGTTGGTATAGATTATCCTTCCCCCTGTGTCCCACAGCCACAATTTTCATGTTTTTCCCATATGTCTCAACAGAAAGTTATCTGTTCTCATTACTGAACCAGACCTGAATTCATTGTAGCTTATGTGTTGCTTCACAGTCTTAACAGCAACTGAGGTCTTGGTTATTTGAAAGTGTAAAACTGTGTGCAGTCTGTACTGGTTAATATAACTATCTCTGGAAAAATAATTCTTATCAGGAAGATGTTTTTTTCTATGGCGACTGAAAGCCCTGCACGTAATAAACATGAAGGGGAATTTTATTATTGGCTTGCTGCTCGAAATAACTGCTGAACTCTCAATGTTACATGTTAAAGTAGTAGTTGCTTTGTTTAAATTTGACACTGCTAAATTTAGAGAACATAGGTTTTCACTTCAGGATTATTTGTTCTAACCTGCCCTCTTTTCCATTCTGTGTCTTTTGAATAGTTTCTCTCTATATCAATCTTCTTATGGGCCCCTTTTCTGGTCTGATGGGCTCCTGTTCTGGGACTGTTTGCAGTTTCCTAAGATACTCCTTCTATCACGTAAGGACAGGGTTTTTTTAAACAAAGAGGTGCTGCAATGACAGACTGTTCCTATACAACAGCAGTCATCACCTAGGGGAGCTCTGTTTAAGCATTGCTGCTGCTCGACTCTGCTATTCACAAAGCAAGCTCAGGAAGTGTGTTTCAAACCTGCATGAGATTTTCCTTTGTTCTCGGTCACCTGAAGTTATTTTTGTGATGCCTTAACCTTGAAGTAGAACATGTTCAATCTTTTCCTCTTCAACTTCTTTTTTTTCTATATGCTTGAGGCAATTAGCTCTGTGGCTTCTGAAATACTAAGTAAAATAACTGCTGGGAATAAGCATTCTTTTTGTTTGGAAGAGTTGGAAATATCTATATTGGTAACTCTCTGATTCTAAACAAACAGTGATTTTAAAATTTGTTTGAAGGGCTGAAATGGTAAGCTGTTTTTCAGTTTGAAAACTGTGGTAGGTTTGTAACTTCTGGAGGCATCCTCTGCAAAGTGTGTGTCAAACTGTTTGAGTGACAGCTGACTTTCTGCTCCTCCCTTCTTGATGTTAGATCTGAGTTTTTCACACCTTCTCAACTGCTAGGCTCCTGCATTGGTAACACCTACCATACGTGCTCTCTGAAGCCAGGAAGTCATATCCTCAAAGTCAGTGATTGACCTGTGTTAAGTATGTGCCAGGATACAATTATCATGGAACCACTTCCCTTTTCCTGCACAAAGGCTTTGCATTCAAGCAGTTCAGTTGTACAGCGGACAGTCGCTATCCTTAATTCAGTTGTACTTACTTTTTTGAGGAACTATGTTGTAACCTTGGAATGCTGAAGGAGAGTGTAGTTACCATAGTGAGAACCCAGTTTTGTGTCCCTTGGGGAAAAGCAAACTGCAATTTGAAACAGAATCTGACTCTTTTTGTGGATAATCAGGAAAGATACAGAACACAGTAAAAAAAAGGATTTCCGGGGTTTGAGTAAGAGTCCAGAAATCTTTCTAAGAAATGTAGATTGTTGAGCTTGGACTACCTCCTATAGAAAGCTGATTTTTAGAAGTGGATTTTGGGTAATCTGGATGTTTTGGGGGCAAATTGTGGATGCTGTATTGACATAATCTAAGGGGACTGAGCTAGTGTGCATCCTTTAATCACTCAATTCAACCTCTTCTTGTTCAGGGAGACTGAAGATTTAGTTCATTGAATCTATTTGGAGTTATGCTAAGACACAGAAAGAAAAAGGATCAATTTCTGAACTGTTTTAAATGTGCAGGGGTTATAGGAGTAGCTACCAGTTAGATTTCCTTTAAACCCAAACCTTGAGTTCTTTCTAAGTTGCCAGAGAACAGCTCACTTGCACCCCATTGAGTTATCTGAGAAGAGTAGCAGAATGTGATGTTCATGAGGCACCTCCTGCATAGCAGCTTTGTTAGTGACTCACTTTGCAGCAAACAAACTTCCTCACTTAGTGAACACACTGAAAAAAGATAGGACAGATGGAGAAGTAGAATCAGGTTGGCATTACTTGTCTGGAGAAAAATGGTTGGGGTTTTATCTTATTATTCTGTCTTTTCCTTCAGGTATGCCCACAATTTGAAACAACTAAGCCAGTGGTGTTGAAAGCGTGCCAGAAGAAGCACCATGGTCTTCACAAGCCCCAGAATCAGGATGCCAACTGCAGTTTGCTTCATGCAGGAGGACCTTGTCGAAGAGCTGCATCCTGCAAATTTCCTCCTTTAACTTTTGAGAATTTAGAAGGACATGCAGGCCACTCCTTGGATCATCCAAAGCGCTCAAGGAAGGACACAGAGTGTTCTCACAGCCAGCTCAAGAAAGGGACAGCAGCAAACGCCAATATCCAAGTGCAGGGTCCAGAGAACTGTAGAGAGCCTGCTCTCCAGCCTGTGGAGCGAGGAGCCTTTAGTCTGCCAGATGCAGAGGCTCCACAGGTGCCTTCCCTAAGGAGATGCAGCAACACTCTGTCACAAAGTACAGACACCTGGCATCCAGAAAAAGAGCTGGCATTTGGTGTTGATCCCTGTGGGAGAGGGAAGTCGGCAGCAGTGCTGGTTACAGACACTCCCGAACATGAGTATGGAGTAAAGGTCACTTGGAGACGGCGGCCTCACCTCATGAAGTACCTGCGGGAGCGAGGGAAGCTGAGCGCTGCCGACATCCTGGTGAAGGCAGACTTCGAGCTCTGGCAGAGACAGGCCAGCGCCTGACCCGGCGGGAGCGGCACCTCTGCAGCGTGCGGGGACACGCCCGGACGGACGATGGCACTGCGGCGGCTGAGGACATGGGCCGGGCGGGAGCGCCTTGGCGACGGGGGTGTGTTGGGCCGGGCTTCCTTGGGGAAAAGTGTGTCTGCAGTGGGGAGCGTTCCTGAGGAGAGCCCTGTGATTCCCGAGGCCCCGCGCGGGGGCCGCTCCCGCCACCCCGCCGGAGGCGGCACGGGGGAAGGGGATGCCATTGCTCCTCTGCGCCTGCGCGGCTCCGCGGCCAATGGGCGGGCGGCGTGCTCGCGGTCCGGGCCAATGGCGGCGCGCCTCAGTGCCGCGCGCCGTTGTTAAGGGCAGCGGCGGGCGGAGGCCCCTAGCAACGGCGGGGCCGCGATGGAGGCAGCGGCGAGACCGGGCGGTCCCGCCGCCCACAGGTGAGGGGGGCCGGGGTGGCGGCAAAACGGCCTGGGCCGGGGCTGCCTCACATGGCAGCACCCAGAGGCAGCGCCCGGTGCCGGGGTGAGCGGCCGCAGCGGGGCCCAGGCGGGCGGAGCCGCACGGCGGCGGCCACGCGGGTCGGCGCTGCCCCGGTAACGCCCGTGTCCCGGTTCGGGCGCCGCCGTGCTGCTGCTTTGTGTGTTGTTGTGTTTTGTGTGCTTCACTCTTCAGCCTTGTCTGTTGTGCGTCTTCTAAATAATTGTACATTAAACCGGTTTTGTGGGGTCTCGGTCCGCTCTTCGTTTCTGGGCACTGCTGTGAAGGGTTTTCGCGGTGGTGTTGAGCCCTTCTGTTCTTCGTGAAGCTCTTGGGCTACGTGGTGACATAATCCGTGCGCCTTTGCAAGGGAAAAAGGAGCAATAACTGAAAGGAATTTAGCTGATGTAATATGAAAAGCAGCTGTGAACTGTGGAGATTTTGGAAAGAGTTTGTGCCTGTGGCACTTGGCTAGCTCAAAACTGAAATTATTTGAAATGAAAGGTGAGGATACAGATAGACAGTGAAAACGGGTTTTGACAGAATCACCGTGATTGTAAAAAACGTAAGAAAACCTATTTCTTGTGCCTCTGATGCTTGGATGGGGAGAAGTGAAGAGAGAAACCTACACTTCCAACTGAGAGAAAGCAACTACTTCCAATAGTTGAATTATAAGGAGCATGATGTAGAAGAGAAACAGTATTTATTTAATACATTCATTATTAGATTTTGTAATTTTAGTTGAGAGCAAAAAGCAGAAAAAGAGAAAAGGTCCTTTAACTGCTTTGATTCCCCAAATGTGCTATGAAACAGTAGAAGATTACTTCTTTATGCAGACTTTTAAAGGCTGAGAGTTGTGTACCAGTTCTGGAAAGAATTTTTGCAAAACTGATGACCAGGTATATGCAAGTTTTCTTGCATAGATATTAGATGTTTAAAGTAAGAGTTGAAGCTACAGGAAATAACGCTGCTTTTCTGATAACAGTTCTACCGGTATAATTTCTTTCTGCTAAGAAACTTGTTTTGTGTACTTTTACGGGTGCCCCACAGAAATAGCGTAGCAATAATGGCAGTTCATGTGACAGCTGCTTCCCTCCCACCACAGTTTATTAAACAAACAATCCATTTTTTAACTTTTTTCATCAATATTCTTAGGAAGGAGATGAAAAAAATCTCTATTTCTGAGATGAAAAAATTATCCCTAAATCACTTATCTATTCACTAGAACTCTTGTTTGGTGAAATAATTGTCAGTTTTCCAAACAGTGCGTTTTATAGGAAAAGTAAATGTGGTATGCAATAAGTTCATAGCAATGAAGATACTGCATGGAAAGCTTAAAAAGGCTGTGTATGAGAACTGATTGGCAGCATTTTTCTTTTTTTGCCATTCCCCACCCTCCCCCCAGACGTGGAATACCTTTACTATTGGGCAATATGTAAAATATGTATAAAGATATCAAAAATATTTTATTTCTGGTGGATAGAGGTGAAGGATACAAGCCAAAATAAATGCATATGTTTTTGTAAATGTGCCGTGGGATACATGATGATGGATAAAGAGGAAAGATCTTGGATTCAAGCCATATCTGAAGCCCTGTGTTAATCTATCTTCTATTTGAAGTGGCTGCAACTGAAATTGCTCATTTTATTTTGGAGTTTTATTGACTTTCAGGGAGACATGGCACAACCATTCTAATGCTTTCGGAGATTATAAAATTTATAGTGCTATTTCATAGTTTTGATAAGTGCTATACCTCCTCTCTTCCTTTGGGAAAGTCCATTTTGAGACTTAACATGAAATTACTAATGTTGAATACAGTAGAAACAATCATATACAAGTAATTCTAAATCATTGTAAGCTTTTAAAATAGTGAGAAGGAAACTTGGATCTTATGGTAGTATGTATTTTAGAATCTCAGGGAACAATGGACCTCACCGTTTTGCACACTAATTACACCATATTTGGGAATTCTTAAAGCTTCCCACATGCTGCATTCCCATTGTGCTTCAACTTCTGACTTGCAGATGTCATGTATAAAGAACGTAATTTTCAAGGTTCAAAAACCTTGACTGAGTCTACAGAGACTACAGAACTGGATGTGAGCTACAGAGGTCCTGCAGTCATTTGGATCCTTCCTTGGGGTCTAGATATGCATGAGTTAGTGGCTTTCAGTTTGTGAACTCAGGAAGTCCAGAATACTTTCTCAGTGTCTTCAAAAGTTAATGAATAAAAAGAGTCTGTTGTCAATAAGCTCAATTTTCAAAATATTATGAGCCCCAAGACTGAGAAAGGTTCAAAACTAGTTTCAAAAGTAGTATTGATGTCCAGCCAAAAGCCATTTCCATATCTGAAAAACCTTAGCGTAGTTGAGATTGACAGGAATCTCAGAGGCTGCTGGGCTTGTATGTTTTGTATAGATGCACCATGATTATAATTTTGAGGAAAAAAGTACAAAATATTTAGCTAATCATTTTAGCTATACTTGTAATCCAGAGAAGTTTAAAATTGCTTTTAAAAGCTGATCATTATCTCTGTTAGTCCTTGGGTGTTTTTATTTGGCCACCAGTGAGCTTCTTCAAATTAACAAGCATTGTTTTGTAGGACTTGTAATTCTGCAAATCTTAGATAAAAGAGAATTGGCTTAATATCCTGTTTACTTCACCCTTTTCAACTCTAAAGATTATAATCAAGAAATCTGCCCCAAGTGAGATAAATCCATAAATATTTTATAAATATGGTTTATATTTACTTGTAGGAGTACAGATTCAACAGAAGAGAAAACCTTTTGCAAATTTATGCTGCTGGTGTTAGTATGAATGAAAAAGGAATCTCCTCACTTCCTACCAGCAGTGTCAAGAGAGAAAATGTAGCAACAATATATGACTGTAATTTCCAAATACAATTTGAAATTCACTTGGTAACTGCAATTGCAAAGAGGTGTCTTAAAGTTGAACCTTGTTTGAATTGTCTCTTCAGTTTCTAATAAGTTCTTCTTTCATCTCTTATCACTTAGATTTTGGGTTACTGATGACCCATTTTTTATACAGAACCATTATTTTTATCTTTTGCTTTTTTAAACACTGTTGGTGTGGCATCTGTAGGAGGGACAAATGCACTGACTTAACATAGTTTTCACACATGCAAAGTCATAATTTTCTGCAACCAGACTTGTACTGGGATAGCTCCAGAAAGCTGTTCAGAAAATTTCATGTTCTTTCCCCTGTTTTTAATTTGAAAGACTATAAACAAGTGCAGTTTGTGGTGTGAAGTGTGATGCAAATTATTTTCAGGGAACTTTGAGTTTTGTTACCTGGTCTGGGTTAAGCATACCACGTGCCATTTAACTGCTGGTTTTGTTGCTAGGAGAGAATAGAGACTGCTCTACATTTCACTGGTTTCATGTTGTAATGAGGTACAACATCAACAAAAGTGACAGTCAGGGTTTAATAATTTACAAACAGAAGATTATAAGAGTCAGAATTCTAAGCCCCTGTGGATCTTGCTTTGCCTTTTCCTTGGGCAGAGCTATATCTGTAAGTGAAATGACCATGGGGATTTGGAGCATGTATTTGAGAGGACATTAAATAGAAAGCTGGTGTTCTGCTTGTGGAATAAATGTTTCTTTTCTTTAGGAGAAACCTAAGTTTCATTAAGCTCACCTGAATAAACATGATTTTGGAAGCATAATACTCTGCATTTGTAAGGGTGGTTGAGCTGAAAAGTCCTTACTCAAGGATTCATCAGCTGTGAACTCCTGAAGGAATGTTCCTAGCAGGAGATTCCTTGTCTCCCTTTTCTTGAAAGTATTTAATAAAATGCCAGTTGAAAACCCCTGCTTGGCTACACACTTAAAGATAAGTTTATGTGAACATCCTTATGGTTGTCTTTGTGCCATCTTCCCAGCATCGGTGATGGGTTTAAATGGTTAATGAAGATCTAGTAGCTTCTGTCCAGAGAGTGCTGTTTATTTTCATTGCTCTGTTCCCTTGTTCCTAGGAGGAGATGATCTTTGGTAGTTTGAGTCAGTTTTTGAATAGCGTGAGAACACTAAGCAGTACAGTAGACAAAATAGTTCTGAGCTTAGAATGTAACCATTTCATGATGCTTTTGTTCCTGTTGCATTTTCTTGTGACAGTCTGTATTCTCCATTGTCATCTAGTTTGTTCTCTCAGACTCAGGATCTAAACTATCTCCATTTATCTTGTGATCTCTAGAACCCAAACAGACAGAATCATGGAGGTTGGAAGGGGCTTCTTGAGATACATATGTACCTTCAGAACACCAACCTTTTGGGGCTATTTTTTGGGGGGGAGGTAAGGGGAGTAGTGGATGTTTTGACTTGTGTGTTTTTGGCATACTTCTAGTCCATGTGACTTTATAGAAAAGTACCTGATAATTTCACTTCAAAGTTCTACTTTTAAACCTGGAGGTAGGTAGAAGCAGAAATTTTGAAGGACTAACTTACCCTTTTGTTTCTTTTGGATCTTTCTTAGTAACTTGTAAATTGTTCAGGTAGCTTGTACAAGTTATTGACAGGAACATGTAGTAGCCAGAGGATTCAGATGTATTTTGAAGTGAAGTAGGACATACAGATCTCCAGGCTTTTCTCCAGATGCTCCCTCCATCCAGCCTGTCTGACATAATTTGTTCTTATAATAATGTTCTTATTAGTTAATTTTATACTTATTTTCCAAT